TTAAGACCAGTGTTTGTGGATAGATTCTATTGTAATGGAATTTAGTCCAGCACTTTGTTTGCTTTTGGGTCTGAATTTAAATTTGGCATCTTTTCTCCGTATATATTTCAATCAATTACCTAGTTTCTGTAAGAGGACCGATGTTTAAATTCAAAATTAGACCTTTGTTCTTTATCTTAATTGATGACAGAGAAGTTGTTTAATTTGGGTAGAAGTAAATGTTTGTTGGAATTCTTCCACATTCTTTTTTTCGTTTGTAAGAGCCAAAAATTGACTTAGGGGGTGAATTTCTTGCTGAAATTAGACTTACAAGAGTAGAACAGGGTCAAACTAAGATTAAAAATGTTGTTTCGCCAATATATAAACCTAATCGTAGGTGTAATATCACCATATTCAACCGAATTAAAGACTTTCCCTTCCAATAATCGCTGATTTTTCAAGTTTAATCCACAATATGGCAACACCCAAAAGTGGTTCTACACCTTCTGCTGTGTAGCGTTAGTTGTGACATGAAGATGAAAGGGCGGTTAGTGAATAGTGTAGAACGTGAAGCTGGGTTCTTTTGTTTATTTATATGGAATATATTATGTGCGTATTCTAGTATTTTGAGCAGTGTAGCTAATTTTAACTTTTGAAATGTTTTGCTTTGTTCACATTACTGCTATGGTGGCTTTTGACAAATGGAAATGTCAATATAATGCTTTGTTGTGTCTTTATTCATAATCCATGATTTTAAAATAGTGTTTTCTATTTATAATTTTGGAATTGTAAAGTTCTATTGGAAGTGTTTTTGAATGTGATATATTTAACAGCTGGAATTCAGTTTGAGAATTAGAAGGTCCCAAAATTCAAACCAAGTATTATATTGCCACGTTGTACATTCAAACACTTCGAACACTAGTACTCATCCATGTTATTTAGTTTTGATGATGCGAAAATTGGGCAATTGCCCAAAAAGCAAGCATTGGCCGAGAACTCAATGATTGAGAACAATGCTATGTCACAGAGTTTGTATGAGCAGACAAATAAGAATGTGTCACAAGGTACATCAGCATTTCTAATCTGGGTAATCATGCATCCATAAGGCAGAAAATAGTAATGGCAAAGAGGCGTTGTCCAATGATGTGCTTGCTTAGTCTCGAATTATTTTTATGTATTGAAATGGTCGACTCCAACGGTTAGAATAAAAAAGAAGAGTCACAATAGGTTTTTCAAACCAAAAAAACGAAGGGTCTTTATTTTCGCCCTTTTTTATAAGTATTTCAAATTTCATGATTTTCATTGATATTTTGTCCATCCCTCGTCATAATAATATCTAGGGGCTTGCAGCGATAACTTGGCGTATAGTGGGCTATGTATTGATTAGGAAATGATATTGAATTATCAGCTTAATCCTAAGGTTATTTAAAAAAAATTCGGCTACAAAGATGATTTGGGTCTATATTTGGTATATATTATTGCTTAAAATACTTACCATATCAAAACGTATGACTTGAATTATAAATGTCACATAGTAAATTTTGAAATTTTATTTTGTAATGATGTAGACATGAAATTTTTCATAAATAAAAATCTCTAGATTTGAAAATATTTTAAGATTTGAAAGTTGCCGAACTCTAAATCCAGTAATCTAGTGATGACAATGGGTCGAATTGAGCTGGCTGGACCCATGTCCCCACAAGCTCGATTTTTCCCCCCTTTTTTTTTCAAAGTGATCAAACGGACACTTCTTCATTTTTTTTTAAAATATGAAAAAGTGATCGAATGTGGCAATCGTGGTCCCGTGAACTTTAAGTTAGTGATAACAATGGGCCGAACCCAGACAAGCTACTGGCTTGATTGTCACCTCTCCAGTCACCCGAGCTCAAATCTCGGTCATTCTCCCCTTCCTGTTTTTATCAGCACTGCAAATAATCCGGCTTCAATTTTTACTTGAATTAAATTATTTCCTTGTTAATTTGTTTCACAATCCTTAGTTGGGCTCATATTGAATAACGCAGAGCAAAGAAAATCTTCCAAACAACTTTCAGGTAAAATTGTCGTCTTTACTTTTTCATGTTTACCATTTGAAAATTATAAAATGAAATGCTATTACTTTTATTCAGATTCTTTGTATTGATGATTTTTTTTCCTGTTCACCCTGTCAATGGATTTTGTTTCGCTAATATACTATAGTGATTTTCTTAATAGATACAAATGCTTCTTGCTAAATACTTCCTGTTGTTTTAGGAAAATTGGTTTAGGGCAAACAGATTGCATATATAGTGTTTGGTAGAATGCCTGTATGAACTGCTATGCTGTATATTGAGATGGGCTTTGTTTGAAATCTTTTCTTGCAATTCGACGGTTGGGTTAGAGAATGGATGACAGCCAGTAAGCCATGCGCTGGCAGTGTATTATTCCTTCCTGACTTGCTCTACAGGGGGGGCTGGGGAAATGGTGGGATTTCCATCAACAAATCTAATCAATTGCCTTTTAAATATCTCATTCAAGTCTCCTATTTTTCACTTTTTAATTTCATTTCTAGAACTAAATTTTTACATTAAGTTCTTCAACAAAGGATTACTGCTAAGATTTTCACAGGAAAAGAAATCAATATCAATATGTCACTTATATATATTGTTGTTAACTTTCCAGACAGCTCATTTCTCTCCTGCAGATTGGCCGGGGGCTAGGCCTTCTCAGCTGTGAATATGTTCTTAATGGTCTCAGGCATGCAATCAAATTGTGTTGATAAATATGAGTTTCCATGTTGCATTTAATTATGTGTTGATCATGGTTGATGAAGAGAAGATAAGATTTTGTATATACTAAGCGATGTAATTACTTTATCCTTTTCCATTGCTGTGTCTTAGAGCTTGAAGACAATAAATTGGAAGCATATGTTTGCATCTCAAGATCCTATTCATAGCTGTGAAAGGATGTACTCTTATTCTCTTTGGTTTCCGTGTTTAAAATGTGAGAAAGTATTCCCTCCCCCCCCTCCCGGAGTGGGGGTCTGGTGGTAGACAGAAATAAAGAAGCTCATCTTCATTTTCTTCTTAAGGACGCATTTTGAGGAATTTCATTCTTGAGGCACCTTAACCTTTGTCTATCCATATGTACTGCATTTTGCATATCTTTGTTTGTTTATGGACTTATGAGATGAGATATAGAGTTATATGAATCCAATTAAATGGATTTTTGGATTTCCCAACAATTACAGTCTTTAGACGTAAGAACAAAAATGATTTGTAATAAACACCTGAAACTTCTTAAATTCTACGTGGATGATAATATAATTTTAATCCTTTATCTTGTTTTCCAATTTTCTGTTGATGCGTGCTTGCCAGTGCTGTGAATTTATCATAGGTGTGATCTTATTATATAGGGTGCTCCAACGCCTCTTTCTAATTGTGATCCTTTCGATATTATCGACTTGTATTTTTTTTTCATTTCTTATTTCCTACGATTATATGTTTATGGACGTTGTTGACTTAATCCTTAATCTAATTGTGACTGATTTCAGGTGATTGGTATTTGTTTTATAATGGAAGCCAAATTCTTTCGCTTTCTTAAGATTGTTGGAGTTGGTTTCAAAGCCAGAGCAGAAGCAGAAGGTCGTCTCTTGTACCTTAAACTTGGTTATAGCCACGAGGTCGAACTTACTGTACCTCCTGCAGTTCGTGTGTTTTGCTTCAAAAACAACGTGGTTTGCTGCACTGGGATTGACAAGGAAAGAGTGCATCAATTTGCTGCTGCTGTCCGTAATTGTAAGCCTCCTGAAGTTTACAAAGGCAAAGGTATAATGTACATTGATGAAGTTATAAAGAAAAAGGAAGGGAAGAGGTCAAAATAACTTAGGAAATGCTTGGCTTTCCATGGATGGAGTTTGACCTTAATAGATACAAATAGCATGTCCCAGTTCATTTCATTCCATCTTTTTTCACCTCAGATTAATGTGCTTTAGTATTGTCACTCATGTCTCCAGCCCACATCTCTCTCTCTCTATTTTTTTTTAATTTTTTTTATTTTCCCGCCCAATTCTTATGCTTTAGTAATGTCACTTATATTTATGTTTCAAATCTTCCATTTTGAAGAATAGATCATATTGTAGTAATGTCCATAATGGCATCTTTGATTGGAACTCATAAAACTATAAACTACTTCTAAATGGGAGAGAACAATCCTACATCTGATTGTGTTAACTTTCTAATATAACTACCTTATAAATCGGGTGAGACAAAAGGATTTTGAGTCTGGGTATGGAAGTGTAATATAGATTGAATTTCCTTCATCTTACGTCATCAAGAAAAAATGAAAGTCTTCTCTAATTTTCAGAACAAGGTAACATTTTCAGTTGTCCATGCTTATCTAAATTAATCCAAAAAAAGCTTTTTCTGCTAGTCAAATTTTCTGAACAAGTCAGAGTGTGTGAACAAGCCTTCAAGCTTTAGATGTTTATGGCATCTTTGGTATGTTGGGCTAGACAGTAGTGCAGGATTAAGGAAGCAAGTGAGGACGAACTACCTGTCCTTAAGTGTTATTACCGGCAATTCTGAAGGAGCAGTTCAGAAGTGGTGTTCACACTCTTGAATCAGTTATTATCCCTGCTTATGAAGCAAGAGCAAGAGTGCCAGCAAAGTTTGAAGAGGCTCGGCTGAAATGGCACACAAGAGAGTTCATTACTATCCAATCCAAAGTACAAAAATACTCTTTTAGTTGAGAGATCCAAAAAGAAGTCACACTGAAATGTAAGCTGTCATATCCTGTTCTCTGTAGTACTTGCACAAAAAGGTTAGTATAAAATATCAACCAATTGCAGCTGATACTCCTAACTTTACATGCGAATCCATGTGTAGTAATAATTTAAGCTGCAAAAACTTGGAGGCCAACGCTACAAGTGGCTTAGAAGATGCAGAGGGAAAACAGTACTCATGTAGAAAAGAAGCCTTGCACGAAGCCACGCCTAATCCGAGGCCTTGTCCAATTAAGAACTCGTGTCTATTCCGTTGTTCAGTATTGCTTTGTACTGTGGACTGAACTTGTGCCCTTGTTATCACATAATTGGCACTATACATGCCAAGAGGACCATGTAGGCTGTGAATAATTGGCCACAACTAGTTAAGTTCAATGGTGCCAAGGGTGATGGCTATTGTAAAGCCATCCCTTGGAAACATTTCAAGGGTCATTCCCATGGAGAACTATTGGCCATGGCTGCCAACTTGTCTTATCGTTCTGTGGGAACATCTAAAAGATGTCATATTAACCTTCTATTTTGGGATCTTAATATTCCGATCAAATTTGCTATTAAATTATTTATCCTTTATCGCGTCTATGTGATATAGTGCTTCGATCAGATACACCAATCTCAGAGCATTGGCAGGGAATATGAGAATGAGGTTAACGGCTTTTTAGAACATTTTCCAGTTGATTCAACGAAGAGGTGTGAGACATGCAATTCACCATTCTGAACTCGGACAAAGTGAGAGTAAATCGTCGCATGTTTCATGTGCAAGTTCGCAGTGTCAACATTCATTACAATGACTTACCAGCTGTAAAGAAATAGGGATCCCAAGCTCACGGTTTGGTAAACACCCCTAAATTAGCTCAGAGGGTGTAGATGTAACTATTCGATACTCTACTTTTTGTGAAAGAGCGGGCAACATTGTCGCTTTCGAGAACTCTTAGATATGAGTCATATGACATTTTGGCCTAGAAATGAGGCCCGTGCAATGAGTATCAAATTTGAAATGAATAAAATCAAGTTAACCCCAACCTATTAGAGTGTGTGTTAATCGTGTTGATATTGATGAGAGACACCATTTGGTAGGGATGGCAACGGGCTCCATCTATGCACGAGCTCGGCTCGTGCGAGCTCGTGCTCAAGGGTCGAGCTCGGCTCGGTCCATGAGCTCATGAGCCGAGCGGAGCCCACAAGCTAGTTGGTTTTTTTTTTTTTTGATGTTTTTTTGGTTTTTTCCTCATTTTTTTATGAGCCTAGGCTTGTGGACGAGCTCGTTGGCTCGCCCACTAGCACTCGTCTTAAAAATGAGCAGAGCAGACTCGTTCTCAGGCTCGTCTTTTGACGAGCACAAGCGGCTCGTGGCTTGTTTTTGAGAGGCCTAGCCGACTAGCCACTCAGCTCGATTGCCACCCCTACCATTTGGGGTCGTAAGGTTTTATTGTTTGATTACGTTTGTGGAAGAGGCAATTAGGATAGTGATCGATTGGGGAAGAAGATATTTTATTTCTATTTCATTTTTATCTGTTTTTTGTATTACGCGGAAGTTTGGGTATAACGGTCTTTTTTTAACTTAAGTCTCCGATCATGTGTGCACCTTAGACAAAATTCGAATACAAATGACCCACTCGTTACAAAAATTAAAATGAAATTCAAGTATACATTTACCAATGAAGTAATAAGTTAAAAAGGGAAATTACTTTTTTCATTCGTTGTCTTAGATAAATCTATCAACCTTTTATTTTAGCATAGTCCATCCTCAATCTTTCAGTTACATAGCAAAACTCGCTCACCTTCCATTTCGGTCATTCAATGACGAATTTGTCCCCTCCTTAAATAAACAAAAATAAAATAAAGCAATAAAATAAGAAATACAAATAAATCCTACATAAAACAATTAAATACATATTAACCCTAAAATAAAATAAAATAGTAAAAAATTCATCTTTCCCAACCAAGCTCAACCCATCCACCTACGATGAAACGTCACATTCACAAATACAATCACACTAACGACAACGACACCTCCACTACCTCAGAATCAAGCCAAAAAAAGGGTAAGCAGACCTTATTTTTGTACGTCACTGGGCATATACAAATTATGAGCCTTACCAATAAAATTTTCAAAAGCAAAAACATGATCCAAGAAAATCATGCAAACATAATTTGTTCCTCTTCTTGGGCTTTGTAGCAACAGCAACAGCAACAGCAAACCCCCACCATTAGTTTCTTACTGTTCCACCACCTCCTCCGGCGGCGGCACCTTAGCTTCAGTAGCCAAAGCCACCACCAGTCCACCACAAGTTAAAAGCATAGAAAATAAAGAAACCTACTTTCTTCAAACACAAGTGGGATGGTGTAAGAAATTCACTTAATTATTAAATAAGTACTTATTGTTTACATAGATCATCAACCCCGACAACAATTATGTGCTCATCCACTTGTTTTCTAACGAGGCTATTTTATTTTATTATAATTTCACGAAGACTTGAAAGTTGAAACTACTGTCAAGAAAAAGATTTTGTAATCTTTCAAGAATTGAACAACTATATTATATTTTACCGACGTCCTCGAAGGACTAAATTGAAAATAATATTTTCAGAATGCCATAATATTATATTTTTTCTCCCTGCTTTCCAGTCCTAGGTTTTTTATTTTATTAATATTAATGTAACATATTTTATATTCTTCCTTTACACGGTTCTAACTGCTATTGGGCATGGGAAAAAATTAGTTATCTAGTGAAATTTTGTATATTTTATAATAAAAAAGTAAGTGTAGAGATTTACAGCTTGCAAATTATATAAATAATAATTTTGATATAGCATCGGGTGCCTTGGATTCCAACATTAATTCTTGCTAATTTATAGTTGCAACTCCCTCCCTCTCTCTCTCTCAAAAAAAAAAAAAAAAAA